CGTGGTTACACCCATAGTCACAGGTCATGTACTGTTAAACGATTTTCCTGAGCTGCCGGTTGAAAACCCCACATCTTGCAATCGCAATCTTTCGCATGCGTGAAAAAAGGAGAAGGGATCTGAATGGAGAGATGCATGCCATGGTATCAAGAACAGGTAATCGCTGACGTGGTTCAGCCGTCATCTTTCTGCCCGACCAGCAAACGTGCGCCTAGTTCCTAAGGTTTCTTATCGGGAACCAGATCCTGGTCCTGGAACGGGAAAACACCCAGGAACCGGCTTGGAATCAGACCATAGATTCGTCAAAAACCGTGATCCAGCCCTGAAGCGTACAAAGAGAACCAGCAAAGGTCTGGGTTCAGTTTGGAATCAGACCAGAGGTCCATCAAAAACCGTGATTCAGCCGTGAAGTGTACAAAGAGAATCAGGGATCCGCCTTGACACTGAGACAAGGGATCCAGCAAAAACAGGATCCGGCTTGGAGCATGCACATGGATCCAGCAAGACCCAAGATTGAGCTTGTAATTATGCCGATAATTCTTGCAGGAAGTAAAATGCGGTCCAGAATAGCACCATACATCAGGCAAAAACTCTGACCCAGTGCAAGAACTCAGACACAGGGCAAGGACCAAGATTCAGTACAAAGTCAAAGGAACCAACGAGAACCAGGGTCCTACTTGGAACTCTTGTCAAAACTAGTATTTTCTCAGCGCACTTAAGTTATGCATGTTGCGCTTGTAAATTCCACACTTGTCGCGTGAACTCCAACCGGCTTTGAGAGATTAACAGTGAGTTGTCAATACAACAGATGGCATCAGCACATTTACCGACAGCTGTCCAAGAGCCGCGGCGGACGTCAAGGGCCTGTCCACAACTAGTCAGAATTTCTTAACGTTTCCGCTTTATGACAGGTCAGATCTGACACGAACTTTCCAAGAACCGTTTAATAAGTTATAATGCTAATATATTAGTAATATTGTGAGCGGAACAGGACCACCTGAGTCGTGGCAGTGCTGCTGCTGGCCGTCATGGAATGAGATAAGAACCAGTCGTGGATGTCAGTCGCCTTTAGTCTGGCTCTGAGCAGATGTGTGTCCCAGTTCTTGCCTGCAATTAGTACCCGAGTTTGTGGGCGTGTACTCAGTGGCCGCGACATCAGAGAAAAGCGCGAGGTCATTTGCAAAGATGAAGAACAAAAGTGGTCTCAATGAGTTGCCTTCCTATTCTGCAATGGTGTTTGGGAGCGGTAGAAAATAACTTAACCACCCCTGTCATGGTTACGAACCGGTGGCTTATGGCCACGTCTGTAATTCTTGGAGCATTCCTTATCAACGTCACAAAGTACAAGGTTTGGGAGGAGTGCATGGTGATCAACAACATGAAAACATTTTGATAGACCAAATAGAACTAGTAGTGTGCTTGCACCTTGGTTCGCGAACGGCAACATTATATCCGTAGCCTCTGCCAAGGCTGTTTTGTCCGTTAGTGAGACCGGAAGCTGTACTGGGATCGAGGAAATGAATCACGCCTGGTAAAGCTGCCGATGAACGTTACGTCCACGAAGTTTTCCTATTTGAAGAACTA